AGAGAGAGAGAGAGAGAGAGAGAGAGAGAGAGAGAGAGAGAGAGAGAGAGAGAGAGAGACAGAGAGAGAGAGAGAGAGAGAGAGAGAAGAGAGAGAGAGAGAGAGGGAGACAGACTGAAATAGAGAGAGAAAGAGAGAGAGATAAAGGGAGACAGAGACTAAAAGAGAGAGAGAGAGAGAGAGACAGACAGACAGACAGACAGAGAGAAAGAGGAGAGGGGAGACAGAAACAGAGAGAGAGAGAGAGAGAGAGAGAGAAAGAAGAGAGACCAGAGACAGAGACAGAGAGAGTAAAACAGACAGACACAGAGAGAAAAAACACAAACACAGACCAAACCCCCACATCACCCCCCACCACAACCCAAACCAAACCCCGAAGCCAAGAACGAAGCTCCGAAAGAAAACAAAACAAAACCCCAAGCTTCGAACCACCTCCAGCGCTCGAGACGTCCCGAAGACCACACAACTCGGGAGTCTTCGTCAGTCTTCTTCTTCATCTTCTTGAACGTCAACATGTGAGGCTTCATCAAAGGAGTGTTTGCCGATCAAAGAAATTAGGGCCAGACAAAGGTGAGGGGTGGGGGTGTGGGGGCGGGGGTGGGGTGGGGTTGGGGCGGGGTGAGGGTGGGCGGGGGGGGGGGGAGAAGAAGACCTCTCTCTTTGCTTGCTTTGTGTCGCGAATCAAAGCTGAGGGTCGGTCCTTCACTTTTTTTTTTTTTTTTTTTTTTTTTTTTTTTTGAAAGACGATGATCATAAAAAACCCGATCTTTTCTGTATCTTCCTTCCTTCTCTTCCTTCTTCTCCTCCTCTTCCCTATTTACTTCCTCCTCCTCTCTTCCCGTTCTCCTTTCCTCTTCTTCCTTATTTACTTCCTCCTCCCTCTTCCACGTCTTCTTCTTACCCCCCCCCCATTCTACTTCCTCCATCCCCTCCCCTTCTACTCCTCTCCCCCCCTCCCCTCTCCTTTCCCCATCATCTCTCTCTCCTATCTCCTTTCTTCCTTTCCCCCCCTTCATCTTCTCCTCTCCACCTACCTTTCTTTCACTGTGAACATCAAGGCACAAAAAGACAAACAAAATTGTATCCGTTTTCGAAAAAAAATCGTATGAATTTAAACCCTTTTTCAAAGAATCTTCAGGTCAAACGGTTATTTAACGGTTTCATGTCAAACGGTTGTTATTCAACGGAAATTTCATGTCAAACGGTTGTTATTCAACGGAAATTCCATATCCAACGGCTGTCATTTAACGGTCTCATTTCAAACGGTTATTATTCAGCGGAATCTTCACGTCAAACGGTTATTATTCAACGGAATTTTCATGTCAAACGGTTGTCATTTAACGGTCTCATGTCAAACGGTTGTTATTCAACGGATTCCTCCCGTCAAACGGGTATTATTCAACGGAATTTTTATGTCAAACGGTTGTTATTCAACGGAAATTCCATATCAAACGGCTGTCATTTATCGGTTTCATAAACGGCTGCTATTCAGCGGAATCTTCACGTCAAACGGTTATTATTCAACGGAAATTTCATATCAAACGGCTGTCATTTTTAAACGGTCATATCAAACGGTTGTTATTCAACGGAAATTTCATGTCAAACGGCTGTCATTTAACGGTCTCATTTCAAACGGTTGTTATTCAACAGAATCTACACGTCAAACGGTTATTATTCAACGGAATTTTCATGTCAAACGGTTATTAATCAACGGAAATTTCATATCAAACGATTTAACGGTCTCATTTTCAAAACGGTTGTTATTCAACGAATCACACGTCAAACGGTTATTATTCAACGGAAATTTTCAGTCAAACGGGTATTATTCAACGGAATGTTCAAAACGTTATTATTCAACGGAATTTTCATTCAAACGGTTGTTATCAACGGAAATTTCATGTCAAAATTGTTATTCAACGGAATTTTCACGTCAAACGGTTGTTATTCAACGATATCGTCAAGCCATATCTGCTCTGTACGTTGACAGCTATTCAAGAACGGACACAAAGAAATTTGCATTAACATAACAAAACTTTTTTTCGAGTTTATCTTTGATGAATAGTATTATAACTTTGAGAACTCTTTTATACATACGTACGTTTTTTTTTTCTATCGTTATGTGTGGAATTCATGTCGAACAAATTGCAACAGGAACAACGAAGGGAAGGACAAGAATTTTGGGGGGGCATTTTCGTGTGTTTTCTTGTTCTTCCCTTCGTTGTTCTCTGTCGTTATGTTCTTGTTTTCTTCCACTCTCGAGTTAATGAAAACTCTGACGACTTAAAAAGGTTTTCTTGATAACCAATGTTCAAAAAGCTAGTAATGATTGTGATTTTAATTACAAATCCGCACACACACGCACGCACGCACGCACGCACGCACGCACGCACACGCACACACCACACACACACACACACACACACACACACACACACACACACACACACTCACTCACTCACTCACTCACGCACTCACACTCACACACACTCTCAACACACACACGGGCACCCATGAATGTACAGTGTGGATGTATATATGCATGTATGTATACATGTATGCATGTATGTATGCATGTATGTATGTATGCATGTATCAATGTATGTGTTTATGTGTATATGTCACTTTCTCATTTTTTATGCTCCGTTTGTGTGAATATATGTACGTATGAGTGTATGTATTGCATGTATCTATCATTTTTGAATTGCTCCGTAAAATCAAGTATTGAAAAATACCACCCTTAAAAAAAAAAAAAAAAAAAAAAAAAAAGTCACGAGGTTTTAAAACGCTGCAGTAATAAATTTCCTTCTCGCACAAAACTGTCAAACGAGGTCCTGTATCAATCAGACTAATGAAAGGGTGTCCATAATTCATGGCACGGGAGGCTCTTGAGGCAGTTAAAATACCATTCGTGTTGAACCTTCAGTTTAGGGTTGAAATGAACAGTTTCCAAATCGGGATTGTTGGATTTTTTTTTTTTTTTTTTATTTTTATTTTTTAGTGAATGTTGTATTTTGACTTTATGTTGTTTTTTTGTTGCTTTTATTTTTGATTTTTTTTGGGGTCTTTTGTTGTTAGGTTTGCGAAATGAAATTAATCGAATGTTTTGTTGTTGTTTTTTGTTTGTTTGTTTGTTTCATGGAATGCATTGGTTTGAAAAGTTTGATTTTTTTTTGTTTTGTTTTTGTTTTATGGAATTAAAAGGTAAATGTTGTTGTTTTTTATATGAGTTAAGTATAACATTTTCACAAAAACGCTGACAACTTGATATAAAGAGACGAATAACAAATTTTGGCGAGCAACCCCTGCCAGGCTTTCTTAGTTTGAGTTAGTTCATGAACCGTGAACAGAAACAACCTGTATCGGAACCAGAAACAAAAAAATATTATCTGCTTTCATTTCCTCGACGTATGCATGCGTGCTTGTTGTAGTAAATGCAAAATAGCAATTTCTCACGTTTTCGACTGAAAATCTGCTTCGTTCCGGGATTCAGATTTTCATTCGATCTCAAAAAAAAAAGGATAATTCCGGTAAAGAACGCGGCTATTTTTTGTATGTATTGCAAACGCTCCAGAAATAGTTGAAAGAGCCGGGTACAAATTCTGTGAAATATTCTTTAATGATGCAATTAGTTCCATTTCTTACCTTTGGACTTTCATATTATGTAAATAAAAGCGGAATATAGTGTTAATATTTAATACTCAAAAATTAGCCATTAATATCAAATGCTTGAAATTATTCATATCGTAATGATTATTAACATAAACATCATCAAAAGGTCATCATTATCAGCAGTATTATAAACATGTCATTAAATGCATTAATAATGACTGTTTAAATATTGACATCGTGTTTGTGCTCGGAGACAATTTAAATGTAATTATGCACGTGAACAAATAGCATGTCCGAACTTGCTCACGGAAATTAGCGATATATTATTTTTTTCCTAAAGCTCGTTAATGAGGGACGATTAAAAAAGGAAAGACCAAAAAAAAAAAAAAAAAAAAAAAAAAAAGAGCTACTGGTTTTTTTTTTTTTTTTTTAATCGTACGCAGGTGTGTATTTATGATTTCTTTCCTCTCTGCCTGCCTGTCTGTCTGTCTGTCTGTCTACCTCCCTGTCTGTATGTCAGTCTCTCTTTCTCCTTCCTCTCTCTCTCTCACTCATTCTCTCCTCCTCTCTCTCTCTCTCTCTCTCTCTCTCTCTCTCTCTCTCTCTCTCTCTCTCTCTCTCTCTCTCTCTCTCTCTCTCTCTCTCCTCCTCCTCTCTCTCCTCTCTTCTCTCTCTCTCTCTCTCCTCTCTCGCTCTCTCTCTCTCTCTCTCTCTCTCTCTCCCTCTTTCTTCTCTCCTCCCCCCCCCCCCTCCCCCTCTCTCTCCCTCTCGTCATTCTCCCCTTAAGTATTTATAAGAATTTATTTGATGAATACATTTGTTCATCAGATATTCTACATTTTTTATTTATGTTTATCTTTCAATCTGACTGTATTTCTCATTTGCTGGGGAAGAGGTGGGAAGGGGGGGTGGAGAGGGGGAAAGTGGGGTAGCGTTGGGGGAGGGAAGTAGGATGGGAGGGGGGAATGTGGAATGGGAAAGGGGGAATGTAGGATGGGGAGGGTGGAAGCAGGATGGGTAGGGGGAGCAGGATGGGACGGGGGAAGCAGGATGAGTAGGGGGGGAAGTAGGGGAAGTGGGAAGAGGAGGGGGAAAGTGGGGTGGGGGAGGAGAATATAGAATGGGGAGGGGTGAAATGCGAAGGGAAAATGGGGGAAGTATGAATAGACTGCAGTGAAGTTGGGGTGAGAAAAAAATGTAAAAGTGAAGTCGGGAAGGAGAAGTGGGAAGAAGTAGGATAGAACGAGGAGGGAGAAGTCGGGTGGGGTGAAGCGGCCAGGGAAAAGAGGAGGGAGGAGTAGAGTGTTGATATATTGGAGTGGGGGAAAGTATTAAACAGAACGAGGCGGATCATGTTACTGCTTGCGGGGCTTGTGGCTTCAGAATACTAG